TTTTTTTTGCACTGAAGCTCTTTCTACACATGCGGCATTCATATGGTTTCTCCCCAGTATGGAGCCTTTTGTGGCGAGGCCCCACGAATTGGTGAAACATTTGTCAAACATGGTGTGGGTCCATTCGTGGGCATAAAAGCTATAAGAACGGACAAAGCGCTTTCCACACTGCAGTCATTGAAAGAGTTTCTCCCCCGTGTGGATTCTGCAATGTACGATATAGCTACTTTTTGCATTGAAGCTCTTCCCACACTCCGTGCATTGAAAGGGTTTTTCTCCCGTGTGGATCCGCTCGTGTGACTTTAGATGACATTTTTGACTGAAGCTCTTTCTGCACTCCAGGCATTGAAAGGGTTTCTCCCCTGTGTGGGTCTGTTTGTGGGCATGAAAGCCACCAGAACTGGCAAAGCACTTTCCACACTGTAGGCATTGAAAGGGCTTCTCCCCTGTGTGGATTCTGTGATGGGCAGTCAGGTTTGTAGAGCGACGGAAGCTCTTTCCACACTCCATGCATTGAAATGGTTTTTCTCCCGTGTGGATCCTCTCGTGTGACTTAAGATGACCTTTTTGACTGAAGCTCTTTCCACACTCTAGGCATTGAAAGAGCTTCTCCCCTGTGTGGATTCTGTGATGGGCAGTCAGGTTTGTAGAGCGACGGAAGCTCTTTCCACACTCCATGCATTGAAATGCTTTTTCTCCCGTGTGGATCCTCTCGTGTGACTTAAGATGACCTTTTTGACTGAAGCTCTTTCCACACTGTAGGCATTGAAAGGGCTTCTCCCCTGTGTGGATTCTGTGATGGTCAGTAAGGGATTCAGAGCGACGGAAGGTCTTTCCACACTCCATGCATTGAAATGGTTTTTCTCCCGTGTGGATCCTCTCGTGTGACTTAAGATGACAATTTTGATTGAAGCTCTTTTCACAGTGCAGGCATTTATAAGATTTTTCCCCTTTATGCATCCTATTATGTATGCTTAGAGAAGAGGTGTTGCTAAAGGTTTTTCCACACTCCAAGCATTCATAGGGTTTCTCCCCAGAATGGAGCCTTTTGTGGCAAGTGAGCCCCCCCGAACTGGTGAAGCATTTGTCACACTCGGTGCACTTATAGGGCTTTTCACCT